TTGTAAGGCAATCTTATTGATGTTAGTTTATTTCACACAATAAACTTCCTTTTACAGTCATTTCCGACAGTAATTACCTGCGATAAAATCTAATAACCTCCGCTATAGTCTCGCTAATAGATCAACTCATATTTTTCTATCGTTATTTCCATTACATAACAATAACATAAATCAAATAACAGATTTTCTTGAAACTTTATTACCTTATGATTAATTACTTTATATTAAACTCAGATGGTAACTTTAAACTCACCATTTCTCTCGATTCTTGTTTCACGGATTATTTATTTTATAATAACATCCAGCAGAGTGAAGTTATCTTTGTGTTATTTTCTTCTCCTCTTGTTATTTATGTTATTTCATCTCAAACCATAAAATTATCATAATAGATAATTTAATCTTTGTGAAATGGAATCCCCGAAAAAGCTTATACCAGACCCGTATAACACACAAAACAAAATCAAATATCATAGCGAGTTTGTGTTTTAGTTGTTATTGCATATACAAATACAACAAAAACAACAACAACGACCTTAATAAGGCTCATAATGCCTCATCATTTGGTAATATATCTAAAAGTTCATTATTCTCAAAACGTAAACATGACAGTGTTGTTTATTTCCTCATTAATCTATAAAATAACGCCTCGCTCTCACGTATTTATTATTATTATTATAGTTATTACAATATTTTTTTTTCTGTTTCCTCTCTACGTTATATTTTATTTTTTACGGACATTAGCTCACCCGGACGAAAATATAATAAAATAATAATATTAATTATCACGATGATAATATTAATAATAGTAACAATAATAAAATTAATAAAAATATATAAATAAATAACAATTATAATAATATAAAATAATGATAATAATAATACAGGCAGAATGTGTTTTAGTGCTACAAAAAAAGAACTATGAACCATACTTTCCGTGGCCTTGGTGAAGACATCATGCAGAGGTCAAAGTTGAAGGGAAAGACATACATATTTAAAGTATCTCTCCTGACCATTGTGTGCTTGACCTTTAGTGTGTTCATTTAGTCATGGCGGGAGGGGCGCATAGACGTGTATGGAGACGGCTAAAACACATGATATGGCTTTAACATATAACTACTACTACTACTACTACTACTACTACCACCGTCCTACAACTGTAACTACCACTATTAACTACTACTACTACTACTACTACTACTACTCATTTTGTCCTGTGTTTAGCTTTTATTTGATAGTTTAGTTAATGAAGAGAAACTCTGCTCTCTCACCCAACAACTATATTTCCATCACTTTATTTTCCATTGGTTATCCGGACAACTTAATCTTCCCCAGCCTCGTTACGTTCAGATTACTCCCCATTAACCCGACTTATTCCACCTATTTCTAAATTGGATCCCATGCCATTGTTTGAGTATAAAATGTTGAGTGTGTATGTGGTGGATATAACGAGAGAGAGAGAGAGAGATATATATATATATATATATATATATATATATATATATATATATATATATATATATATATATATATATATATATATATATATATATATATATATATATATATATTAGGTCCATCACAAAAAAAAACTTTCTTCGTTCCAATTACAATAACAGGAAGATGAGCTCCACTACACCATATCTCTTCCGGGGTCTTAAGTGGTAGGTAAACTCCTCAACTTTTTATCAACAATACGGCCGAACTGATACCATAGAGAGTCGTCTATCTCAAGCAAAAATCACATCGAAACTTCTCTTTCCTGGTAAGTTGACCTTCTTTACTTATTTCAGAAACCCGAGTCAGGGGTCTTATTTGAGGTAGTGGGTCCCGTCACTTCCCGGGTCGTTTGTTGGTCTTGAGTACGATGGATATTGCCCCTGAGTACTATGTTAACTTTTGGAGACCGATGATTTAACCTCTTGAGTACGATGCTTATTGCCCCTGAGTACTATGTTTACTTTTGGAGACCGATGATTTAACCTCTTGAGTACGATGCTTATTGCCCCTGAGTACGGACATGACGCTTAATAATGAGACGACGAGAGAAAAATCAAGTGCAATTCAAAGTGGTCATATAAACGCCAGGATAATGAATATATTTTTACTGTAACTTGTAATCGCTGTAAAAAAAAATATGTAGGCCTATGGCTATTAAGAAAGAGTTAGAAAAGTCTTTATTGATAATTAATTAAACCTTAGAACATCTTATTTCACAACCAAACTGAATAAAAATAATAAAAATAAATAAATAAAAATAATAATAATAATAATAAATAATAATAATAAAAAAATTAAATAAAAATAAAAATAATAATAATAATAATAATAATAATAATAATAATAATAAAGCGACACGATAAAGAAATCCCTAATGAACCCAATGTCACATTCAGCTCAGTAAATTTCGCTTAAATTTATACGTAGTCGGTAAAGAACACACACACACACACACACACAAGAACACGAACACACGCACACGCACACACACGCACACGCACACACACACACACACACGCACACACACACACAGTAATTCCCATTTATTTGGTCCCTCCCCTGACGCTTATATTGGTACAGACGGGTGAGGGTAATGGCTTGGACTACCCCTGTATATTCCTTTAATGCTCGCCACTATTTTCTCTCATATAATTCCTTTGAAATCTTACCGGGAACGCTGTAATAATTTTTCCCGGGACGGACGGACTATCTGTGAGCTGTTCTTCTTGGTGGTTTGTCTCTTACTAGATCCATGTGGGAAGGATTTTCTATATTAATTCCTTCACTATGGGGACGCCACATTGAAGTATTATATTACATTCCTACTACTACGACTACTACTACTATTTGGTTAACGACAGTGGACGGACTAAAGAGTAACGTTAACCCCCACTACTATTACTACTATTTGGTTAACGACAGATGATTTTATTCAGCTCAGTGACGACCCTGTACATAAAGGGTTAGGTCGTTTCAGTGTAAATGTTGATTCTATACTACCTGTTGACCTAAGCTGGCCTGATCTGGCTTAGTTTAGACTGGCCTAATCTAGCTACAGTTACTGTGTGTGTGTGTGTGTGTGTGTGTGTGTGTGTGTGTGTGGTTAAGGGTGAAGATGCTGTCGTTGTTGTTGTTGTTTAGCTGATGGTGTTTCTATCATGTTATTGTTGATGAGTTTATGTTGTTGTTAAGCTTAAGCGAAAATTTACAAGCTAAGGACGAAAAGCTATTAGACGAAGACGAAATGTTATTAACTGGGGACGAAAAGTTATTAGCCAGGGAAGAAAAGTTACTAGGTGAGGACGAAAAGTTACTAGCTAGGGACGAAAAGTTACTGGCCAGGAAAGAAAAGTAACTAGCCAGGGAAGTGAAGTTACTTGATGAAGACGAAAAGTTACTAGCGAGGGACGAAAAGTTACTAGCTAGGGACGAAAAGTTACTGGCCAGGAAAGAAAAGTAACTAGCCAGGGAAGTGAAGTTACTTGATGAAGACGAAAAGTTACTAGCGAGGGACGAAAAGTTACTAGATGAAGACGAATAGTCACTAGCCCGGGCATTCAGGTTAGTTTTGATGTGCACCCAACCCACATTCTCCTGTTATCAGCCCCAGACCCCAACCCCAAGCCCCTAAACCCCATCCCTCAGCCCGACCCCACCCCTGACCCCCAGACTCTCAGCACCTGACCCGAAACCCCACGACCCCATCCTCAGCCCCGGACCCCACCCTGACCCCAGACTCCAGCAACCCGACCCGATCCCCACCCTGACCCCCAGAATCTCAGCACCCCCGACCCGAAACCCCACGACCACCCCTGACTCTCCCAGACTCTCAGCAACCCGACCCAATCCACCCCTGGCCCCCAGAATCTCAGCACCCCGACCCGAAACCCCACGACCACACCCCTGACTCCCAGACTCTCAGCAACCCGACCCAATCCCACCCCTGACCCCCAGAATCTCAGCACCCCGACCCAAAACCCCATCCCCCGACTCCCCGACTCCGGACCCCTAGCTATTCGACTCCTAACCTTGTGACCTTCCGAGTTCCATCTTTTATATTCAATTTCACGAGTATTCATGATTATAATTTGATATATTTCCCCAACATACTCAACCATACAGCAAATATTATACGTCAGTCATATAGAATGAAGAAAATATATTGTATACATTTATATCCTCCATTAAAAGATATATCACTTATAAAAAAAATGTTGTCATGAAACAGACAAGAAAAATATGTCAATTGTCAGTAAAAAATAAAGAGAGGAAAAAATCGTGAGGGGTGGACCAGCACCTCACAGCAAGGGGCGGGGAGGGGGACTCACTGCTCTGCCACTACTTTTTTTTATTCTATTTTATTTGATTTTATTTTTATTTTTATTTTTTTTTTACTCTGACCTACAATCTGTGAGGACGCCATCAGGTTAAACGTTGCCTATTAGGGCTTCCCGGGGGATTGAGGGGAGCGAGGGGAGGCGATTTTCAGGGAGAATCTTGTGCATTATCCCTATATACTAGACCTTGTGCACTAGTCCTTTAAAATCACCAAAGAATGAGTCCATTATCGGGTGTACTTAATCACGGTGGAACAACGTTTGGGTGGACTATCACCTTATTACGGGACAGCCCTCCCCCCACACCTTCACACAACACCACATAATAGCAAGCGAGTTACTGTGGCACCACGTGAGGTCCCTCATGACACCACCTGAGAACGAGTTACTGTGGCACCACGTGAGGTCCCTCATGACAACACCTGAGAACGAGTTACTGTGGCACCACGTGAGGTCCCACGTGAGGTCCCTCATGACAACACCTGAGAACGAGTTACTGTGGCACCACGTGAGGTCCTCATGACACCACCTGAGAATCGAGTTACTGTGGCATCGTGAGGTTCCTCATGACACCACCTGAGAACGAGTTACTGTGGCACCACGTGAGGTTCCTCATGACAATTACCTGAGAACGAGTTACTGTGGCACCACCTCCTGAGGTCCCTCATGACACCACCTGAGAACGAGTTACTGTGGTACCACGTGAGGTCCTTCATGACACCACCTGAGAACGAGTTACTGTGGCACCACGTGAGGTCCTTCATGACACCACCTGAGAACGAGTTACTGTGGCACCACGTAAGGTCCCTCATGACACCACCTGAGAACGAGTTACTGTGGCACCACGTGAGGTCCCTCATGACACCACCTGAGAACGAGTTACTGTGGCACCACGTGAGGTCCCTCATGACACAACCTGAGAACGAGTTACTGTGGCACCACGTGAGGTCCCTCATGACACAACCTGAGAACGAGTTACTGTGGCACCACGTGAGGTCCCTCATGACACAACCTGAGAACGAGTTACTGTGGCACCACGTGACCTGAGAACGAGTTACTGTGGCACCACGTGAGGTCCTCATGACACCACCTGAGAACGAGTTACTGGCTGGCACCACGTGAGGTCCTCATGACACCACCTGAGAACAGGTGCACTGTGGCACCACGTGGGGTCCCTCTTGACACCACCTGAGAACAGGGTGCTGTAGCACCACGTGAGGTCCCTCATGACACCACCTGAGAACGAGTTGCATGGCACCACGTGGTCCCTCATGACACCACACGAGAACAGAGTTACTGTGGCACCACATGGGTCCTCATGACACCACCTGAGAACAGAGTTACTGTGGCACCACGTGAGGTCCCTCATGGCACAACCTGAGAACGAGTTACTGGCGGCACCACGTGAGGTCCCTCATGACACCACCTGAGAACGAGTTACTGTGGCACCACGTGAGGTCCCTCATGACACCACCTGAGAACGAGTTACTGTGGCACCACGTGAGGTCCCTCATGACACAACCTGAGAACGAGTTACTGTGGCACCACGTGAGGTCCCTCATGACACCACCTGAGAACGAGTTACTGTGGCACCACGTGAGGTCCCTCATGACACAACCTGAGAACGAGTTACTGTGGCACCACGTGAGGTCCCTCATGACACCACCTGAGAACGAGTTACTGTGGCACCACGTGAGGTCCCTCATGACACAACCTGTAAGACCAGCCCCGGCCATCTATTGTAAACAATTACTTGTATGTTCACTTCATGTTCCTTTTGGTGATGAAAGCTTCAGTTAAACCAACCACTCCCACATGTCACTATACTACAGTATGTAATAAGTCATTTCTCTCCATTGTATATTGTCATCCTTTTAGCTGCTGTATATTTTTCAATAAACCTTAAATTATTATTATTATTATTATTATTATTACATACACAGAATTTCTTGTGATTCACTCATCTTTACCGCTAACCTAGCCTAATCTAACCTAACGTAATCATTCATCGCTTTTAGCCCGAGAGAGAGAGAGAGAGAGAGAGAGAGAGAGAGAGAGAGGTGGTAGGTGGGTTAAGGGAGTGGGGTGGGCAGTGGGTTTTAGGGAGGGGGAGGAATGGGTTAGGGAATGGGGTCAGGGGTAGGAGGGAGGGAGTGACGTGTACCCGGAAGATACGATAAAATGATGATAATTTATGTTGGAAAAGACTTATGTTCTCTCTCCTGGCTGGTGTTGAGAGAGAGAGAGAGAGAGAGAGAGAGAGAGAGAGAGAGAGAGAGAGAGAGACCTGTACCACAACAGCCGGTCCTGAGTAAAGAAGGCAGGGAAGCGTCGAAAGGACAGTTATCATACAAGTAGGGATGTGATCATTCGAGCAGAATAATTATCGCACAACAAGGTATCGTACTATCGTGGTGACCATCAGTATAGTATACATATTTTACTGTTGCTATCATGGAGGAAACCCCGAGTTATATTGACGAGGAGAGCATATCAGTGTGTAATAATAATAATAATAATAATAATAATAATAATAATAATAAACGGTTTATTAATAGAGTTGCAGCCGGTGGCTGAAAATATACAGACTTACATTTAATTTAGACATAATGATATAATATGCATTGAATACATTTACAGGGCTGTGCAGTACATAAATCAGGAGTTGTTTATTATTTTAACAATAGATGGGATGGTGCTGTTCTTATATCTATCGGTGCGGGCTCTTATGGGCTGAATTTTGTTGTAGTGGCGGACTGCGCGAGTTGGGTGGGGGGCTGCAGGTGGCAGGAGGTGGCGATGGCGAGGGTGGTGCAGTAGTCCACGGCCAAACCTTTCCAGTGCTTGGTGGTGGAGGTCACTGAGGGATGGCATTTCCAGGGTGGAGAGAGCGTTGGTGTAGCCGGAGTATTCTGCGCCGAGCATGATTCTGCAGGCCCTTTTCTGTACCTTCTCTAGCTGACGTTGTTGGGTGGAGTTGAGAGAAGACGACCAGGCTGGTGACGCATACGTTAGTTTGGGGAGAATAAAGGCGTTGTAGATGGTCCTCAGCTCTGGCGTGGGTGTCCCAAGTGACCTAAGTCTTCGTAGCATGTAGAGACGGTACGAGGCTGCCTTGACTGTGTTATTTACATGGGCCTTCCAGTCAAGTTTGTTGTCTATAGTTACACCCAGGAGTTTGGCAGACTGCACCAGCTGGAGAGGATGGGCACCCACTGTGACTGCTGGGGCTTGCACTGGAGTGGTGGCGGTATTGATGTGCATGACTACGGTTTTGGTGTGGTTGATGGTGACCTTGTTCTCCGTAGTCCATGCCTGTAGCCTGTCCAGGGTGCCTTGGAGCGGTGAGTAGTCTGGTGCGGTGTTGTCCACTGAAACCCCCACAGTGCAGTCATCCACGTACTTCCACCTGTGAGGAGTGTGTGTGTGTGTGTGTTAGGTTAAAAAAGGTAATTAGATTAGATTAGATTCGCTTACAACAGGTAGATTAGATGAAGTTAGGTTAGTTTAGGTTAGAATAAGTTAAGTTAGTTTTGCTTAGTTTAGGTTAGAATAGACTTGGTTAGGTTAGGCAAGGTTATGTTAAGTTAGGTTAGGTTAGGTTAGGTTAGGTTAAGTTAGGTTAGGTTAGGTTAGCTTATTCAAGTTTCTCTACCACAGGGGATTGCGTCATGATCATCCTGGGACACGACACACAAACAAACGTATATAAAGGGTCATGTTTACGCTGACTGTGAATACTATAATACTTAGGGTGTTTCCTCATTCCAGGTTCGCGTGTACGGGAAATATATCGCCAACATTCTTCTTGTTTCTTGCGGTACCTCTCATAAATCTTTCTCAGTTTCCTCATCCGTCTCGACCCGTGTCTCCCAGGCCCTCTTTGTCACCCCCCTCCCCACTCCCCCCTCCACCCCCCCTTCCTTACTCTGTGCTCTTCCTCCTCCTCCTCCCCGGGAATAAGAAAAATAGAATTTGCCATCGAGAAAAGTTTCGTCTTGTCATAAATCAGAAAAAAATCCACGAATCCCTCATTAAAAAGACAGAAACTCATACAACGTGAATTTGATCGCCACATAATTCCATTCTTTACGCTAAAATTCCAGGACAAATACAGTTGTAGTAAGCTGGTGTCCCTCAGTTTACAAGGAAGCAGAGGAGGTGGTCGTATTCTGAAAAGTTGTGTCTTGGACAACAGTGGCGGAACACACCTCGTAACTCAGAGTTTTTGAGTAGATTGGTGGCAGGTGTAAACCCTTCCTTCACCACAAGCTTGTTTTTTAATGTCAGGGAGCAGCAACGAAATGTTCCTTATAAAAAATGTAACTCATGGCAATAACAGTACTTGTGAACAAATATATTTACACACACACACACACCCACCCACCCACCCACACCCACCCAGCACCCACACCCACCCACCCACCCACCCCCTACCCACCCAAACACACACACCCACCCACACACACACACACACCCACCCACCCACCCACCCACACCCACACACACACTCACACACACACACACACATCCACCCACCCCACACACCACACCCACCACACCCACCCACCCACCCACCCACCCACACACACACATCAGCTTACAATACAATCACCTCTAGGTTACTAAAACTGAGGCTGGACCCTACTAAGACACATACAATATATAATCTCACAATTAATATTTCTTGACCTCACAGTTCATGACCACTAAGCTCACACAGCTTGATAAGAACGAAACAATACGTCAGAAACTCAGATAAAATACTTTAAAGAGCATCACTTTCCCTGCAACACCTCCCGTCGTCGTTTCAGCCGGCAACAGCGTCCAACTTCGTGAAGAAATTCCCCCCCATCGTCTTGTTGTCTTCATGTAGTTCTTCAGGTGTTGGGGAGTGTGTGGTGGCGTGGAGGTTATGGGGTGGTGGGGTGTGGTGTTGTGGAGGTTGTGGTGGTGTGGTGTGGTGGCGTGGAGGTTGTGGGGTGGTGGGGTGTGGTGTTGTGGAGGTTGTGGTGGTGTGGTGTTGTGGAGGTTGTGGTGGTGTGGTGTGGTGTTGTGGTGGTGGTGGTGAAGAATAAAAAGAGACCCAACAACCCGGTTCTTCCATCGTGAATATTTTAACAACAATCTGAAATTTTGTTATCTGTTAATTAACTCTTCTGTAATGAGTGAAAATTAGGTAATTACTCGTGTTGGTAATTACGAAGGTCTCAGTGTTTGTTGACCGTATATTAAATTAACCTAGAAGCAGTTCCCTTAGGTCATTATATCAAATATAATTTAATATACCAGATTGTTTTAATTATACTGGGTTAAAAAAAAAGGTAATTAAACTGTGATATCTAAATTATTAAAAAAATAAATAAATAATATCTAACTGTGCTGTAATATAATTGGCTCAGTGTTTGCTTATATTCAACCTTGTAAAAAAAAACCCGCCTCCACACGTACAGGGTAGAGAAAGAGTGTACGTTCTCTACTAGTGCTTGTAAGGACACGTAACCATAGAAGGAAAAATACAGACGATACATCAAGTAATATTTTTTCTTCTTCTGCATTATGAAATGAATAACAATAATAAAACTTGGGCTGACCTTCCACAAAAAGAAACATCCATCACAACAGAGTCCCAGTTAAACAAAAAATCGCTGAAGTATAAGAGAAATAGTGGGGAGATTAGACGTCTGCCGTATTTCAAAGTTGAGTCAGACTGAGAACCACTAAATATTTCCACAGTCACACCTGACACACCTGGTCTCTTGTGAACATCTCCAACCCATAAGTTTATAGAATGAAATGATTTTATGTTAGTGAGGCTGAGGGTCGAGTGAGAACTGAAGCAGCAAGCGGTGGGTGACTTTTGCCCGTCCTTGGAGTATAATACTAAATTGGGTGATGGGTGGAGAGGGGTGGGGTGGAAGGTGACAGGGGCTTGGAGGGATAGAGAGAGTAATTTAATTCTTGGATTTTATTTAACAATTCAACTTGACATTTGTAGTGTCTTTGGGTGGAGAAAATATCAGATGAGAGCAATTATACGAGGGTCT